TAATCCAGATTGAGAAGCTACAGAGAAAAATTCTGCCTATTGAGTCACATCTTACCTGTGGCCACATGAACACTGCTTCAATATGTAGGTGCAGGAGACAATCCAGTTACTCAGAATTAGGTTCATAGTTAATTTTTGTCATTCATTGAAGAAGCAGTGTGCAATTTCAGTTATCTCTGGGTCTCCATGGGGGATTGGTTCCAGAACTCCAGCTTTTACCCAAATCCAAGATACCCAGGTCCCTAATATAAAGTGATGCAGCATTTGAATATAACCTGTGCACCTTCTCCCACATACTTTAAATCATCTGTTAATTACTTAAAATCCTAATAAAATGTAAATGCTACATAAATGGTTATACTGGTAATACAGTAATAATGACAAGGAAGAAAAAGTATCCAATGTACACAGCCCTATTTTGAAACTAATTTACAGCTTTCATAGGAATGTTGTAACCTAATTTTAGCCTTAGAATATATGGAGGGGGGAGGAGGGTGGATGGGTGGAGGGAGGGTGATTGGAGGAGTCACCTCTATGGTTTATTCTACAAGGGTACAAGTGAATCTTTCCAAAAGCAGAGTATGAATGTCTTAACTCAATAACTAAGAAAATGACATGAAGGCTACGTTAACCAGTTTGATGAGAGTATTTAAAATTGTATATGAAAACACCAGACTGTACCCCATGACTGCATTAATGTACACAGCTATGATTTAATAAACAATCTTTAAAAAAATAATAACAACAAGGAAAATATTCTGTGCATATAGTATAGACACAACTCTCCCTTTTTCCTCAATATTTTCCATCTGAGGTTGGTTGAATCTGTGATGTGTAACCCATGGGTGTGAATGTCTGACTGTATTTAGTGGTTAATTCAGACCTGTCACAGACATCTGAAATAATTTTGCAGGTCACACCACTTTTGATTGGCTCTGAAGTAAAAACAAAGAGAATGTTGGTGATGTGTTATCTATAAAATGAAGATGCCTGATGCTCATACACTGTCACTTTCTCTATCCTCGGGCTTCCACATACAGTTTGTGGTTCTTGGCATTTTGTAATGTAATTTTTCTGTCCTAAATGAGAATTATTTTTTAGACTGTAGTTGTAGAATGCAATGCTTCATTAGATTAAAGCTATAATCTGTATGGGACAGGATCTGTTCTTTGGCTTCACAGAAGGCCGTTTTATTGGGTGCATTTTCTCATTTACTTCAGGGAAGGCAATGCACTTTCTGTCCTGCAGAGGGCAGTAGGAAAACAGCAAGAAGAAAACTGCTGGGGTGGGAGGGAGTGGTTCCTTGGGGAATTGGATTTCTTTTTTTCAGTTGTTGCTTCACAAAGTTTGTGTGTGTGTATGTGAGAGAGAGAGAGAGACTAAGAGATCATATCCTTATAGTCTAAACTGGGACACAACTAAGGATGAAAGGGGGTCAATTACTATAATTGCACTGGGATAATGGGCATTCACTGGAAAGATCTTTGGAGAACCAGAACTTGAGTACATCCCAGAGGGGGTGAACAGAACACCTGCTCAATACCCCGAGTTCCATCTTTTGTTTCAGTCACTGAAGCAGCACTTGGTTTGGTTCAGGCTTCCCCTCTTTGCCATGGGGTGGATCATGGTGGGCTTCGCTAGGCCCCACACCTGTATAGCCTGGAAATGCAGTGGGATGCACCTGGTGGGCCTTCCCAGATGGGGATGGAAGCCATTGGGTAAATGCTTCCACCATGTCATTCTCGTGGCTGCTTCTCAGATGCATGAGGCCCTCAGAATATTCCTTAGGATGAGCACTGGCTGACCAGGGCAGCACCACCTTGGAAATTCATCCTTGGATTGGCCTTCTCTCCTTCCCTGTTTCACTGCCACCTGTACTTAAAACTTTGCCTCAGGCCTTGCTTTCAGGGGAACCCAGGCTGCAATAGTTGGGCCTGGAATTTTGAAGTGAGATCACTCAGTGGGCAAAGGTGATAAGGATTCTATTGCAGTTATTTACAAATAGCATATCCTACCCTCCAGTATACTTTAAATCCTTGCTAGATGACTTATGATACTTAATACAAGGTAAATGCTATGTAATAGTCGTACTGTATTGTTTAGGGAGTAAGGGCAAGAAAAAGAAGTCTGCACTTTTTTTCATTCACGATAGGTGGAGTGGTGACCCCTGGCCAGCAGTGTCTTAATTACTGGGACTCTTATGGGTTGAGATAAGGGGCAGGCAGAATGCAAAGCATTGGGCTGTGTGAAAACTGCCAACCTTAAAATGGTAGGGGAACAAGGGTAACCGTAAGGATTGAGTTGGCTGGTGTGTTTAGATGGCTCTGAAGCTAAATGCATTAATGTATACAGTTATGATTTAATAAAATAAAGTGAAGAAAACCAGCAGGGTCAAATCAGTCAATTATAAATACAAGGAATGTCGTGAAAGCCAGAGGGTCTGTGTGGAAGTGCGTCACTCAATTGTGCTGACATTTGGACTCTCGAGGTCACACTCCCAGCAACTTAGACCAGGTAAGGCACCAGTGAAGGGTGAGAGAAGTCCAAAGCAGATGGTAGAAGAGGGAGATGAAGAATATTATTGTGGTCTTGGAATCAGCTGAAACTGTAACAACTGGAACTTGTTCCACTAACCATCTTAAATTAAATCTTTGTAGAGATTATGACTGGTCATCGTCTGAAAGAGGAAAGGCACAAGAGGTAAGTGCAAGGACTAGATTGTACCTCTGCCTATAACAGTCTAGATCCTCCTGCTTTTGTCTTTTCTGTGATTAAAGGTCCATTCAGGTATCAATCAGCTTTGTTCAGGTGCAGCCTGACAAAGACTAGCCTTGCCCTGTGCTTCTTCAATGCTGGAGAGTCTTATCACCGCACCATGGGAGCCAGATCAGTACTCAGGCAACACAACTCAGAAGTATGAGGGAGTTGGTATCTGTGAGACTGTCAGCCTTGACCAGTAGAGATTAGGGTCAATGAGTAACTGCTTTCCTCTTTATTCTCCTAGTCAGTTTTGGGTTGCAATTTATGAGACTCAGAAGTCCTGCAGCACCGGTCATCTGTAACATGGCAGACTTGGTAACATTTGCATCCTTGTAATTTCTTTCCCTTTTCATTGCTCATTCCTCCATCCTACACTTCTGGTCCCTGAGATCACATTTCAAAACAAACTACTATGTTTAAGCCTCTGCTTCAGGTTCTGTTTTTAAGAGAACCCAGACCAAGACAGACACAAACAGAGCAGACAAGTTGGGGTACAAAACAAAGAAGAAACTGTGATCTGGTATTAAACTGCAGGAATATTTTGGGACATCAGAGGCCAATTTGGGACTATGATATTTCTAATAATGAAGATGACACATTTAGGCCACATGCTTCCTTGTTAGAAACTCCATAACCAGAGGATACAACAATTTTAGAGCTGGAAGGATCCTTGGATCTCATTTTTAGCCTATCTTTTACTTTAAAGAAAAGTAAGTTTGGGCTGTGAATATATTCCAGTACATCTGATAAAAGGGAGTGCAGTATGTCAAATCATCTGACACTAACCAAAATAATGAAATGGTCCCTAAAGTGTAAAGTTATCTAAGTATCTTGAAGATAGAGGAACAGGAAAAACAGAGTTAGGATAAAGTTAAATGAAGTGAAAGTTGAATTGTGTTTAAAAAGTTCGGGAAGTGGAGATATTTCAGAGAGAGAGACAGAGGGAGAAAAAAAAACCCTTTCCTGGAGATAGATCTTTCTTGGGACTTGTTAAGTTTTTGGCTGTGAATGAAGGGAACTAACACATCCTGCTTGCCAAGCTTTGGGCATATTAGGCGATGTGAGGTGTGCATTACTATCTCCACTTCATAGACCAGGAAGTTGGCACTTCAGAGGCTGAGACTCTCCACGAGATTTCCATGTATAATCCAAGGGCTCACGATTGCATCATCTTCCTTCCACCTCACCATGTTTCCTCTGCTGATGAGGAAACCCAGTCTCCCCTATCCTCTGAACTTCCAGAGTTTCTCAGCATCTTGCCAGGGCTGTGAGCAGAGTCCATTAGAAGCAGATCATAGATCATTCCTTCTGGTGTCTCCATCCCAAACCTCCTATAAAAAGAATAACTCAATTTTACCTTCAAGCCTAATTTAACAAGCTATTTTCTACCTTTTCCTTTCTGCCTCCTAGCTTAAACATTTCTACCAGAATGCTGGTTATAACTGGAAGACAATTTCATTGAAAAAAAAAAGAAGATAGTTCCCACTTAGAGCAGAGTAAGAACCAAGCTTTTAGCAGATAAGGTGGCTGTTTGAATCAGTTAGTGAGAGTATTACATGCCGATCAATGTCAACTTTTAAAAATTGTATTCTTTATGCTTTGATAGGGATTTATTCATTTGTTGAATAGATTTTGTATTTTAGAGTGTGTAGACCTCTACTTTTCAGCAAAGCAGGAAGTAGCCACACATGGCTATTGAAATGCAAATTAATTAATATTAAATTAAAATTTAAAATTTGGTATTTCAGTCATATTAGTCTCGTTTCAAGTACCCAAAAATCACCACATGTGGCTAACAGTTACCAAACTGGACGAGGCAAACATGGAACACTCCTATCCCCACAGAAGTTCTGTTGGACAGTCAAGGCCACACTGGACATGCTGTTATGTGAGAGGGAGAGAGAATGGGAAATATGCAAATTTTAAAAATGATAAGAGGTAATTAGTCTTATAAAGAAAATACAGTGTGCTGGGGTGATGAATATTAGGAGATGCCTACTTCATACAAGGAGGTCGCCTGAAGGGTGTGAGGAAGCCACTGGGAAGCATTCAAGGTGGAAGGGATGCCAGGTGCAAAAGTCTGAAATAAAGGGCTGGGGAGTAAAGACGGTGAGAGCTTTGGACATCTGGGGGAGGAAAATGGAAATTCATGGCACAACACAGGAGGTTTGTGAGAGAACAGCTTTATGACAGTACTTGGGAACAGCAGTTTTTTGTTTTTTTGTTTTTTTTTTTTTTGCAAAAATATGGAAAGCTTCATGAATGTGTGTGTCAGCCTTGTGCAGTGGCCATGCAAATCTTCTCTGTATCATTCCAATTTTAGTATATGTGCTGCCAAAGCAAGCACGAGAACAGCAGTTCTTAAATGTACTGTGTACTAAAATCACTTGGAGGGCTTCTTAAGATGACTGTTGAGCCCACTTCCAGAGTTCCTCACTCAGCAGGTCTGGATGGGGCCCAAGGATCTGCTTTTCCAACTTGCTTTCAGGTAGTGCCCATGCTGCTAGTCTGGGGGCCACACCTTGAGAACCACTGATTTGGTGGATGAAGAAATGAAAGCTCAGGAACATAACATCACTAGCCTGAGTCCCACAGCTAGTTAGTTCGGGAGACAGAAAGCCAGGGGAAGAGAGAAGGCAAGACGATGGAAAGTTTGCTGCAGTTCTCAAACTCCTATCTCACTTCCCTGAGAGGGGACACATGGAAGCTGAGCACTGAGGGATTTTTGATGTGACGCTAATGGTGGGAAGTAGAAGCTCATCTTTGCATGGTGTGTAAGGATCTACGTGTGATTTAATATGGTTCATTTCAAAGGATTAGCAGCTAATCAAGAACATGCGGGGGTGTGGTGGTGGAGGCCAGATGGCCGACTGGAGCCAGCTTTCCACAGAGGCTCCCATCCAAAAGGAGAGATAAAGGACAGAAGTTTAGCAAGTAAGCTGATGGTTTGGAGCTGAGCCAAGACAGAAGGTTGAAGAATGCATTATCAACCCTGCTGGGGTGAGCTGCAACCCCAAGGATACAAACAATAGGTACAAAATTCATCTCCAAGTGGATGGGAGTTCCCTCCCCCTTGAGAACGGCTCACAGTATACTTTCTATAAACAAGTGAGCAGAGTTTAAATGTCCTCCCATTTTATCCTACGTGAGAGACCCTCTAAAAACCAGACTTCCTTTCCCTACTAGGGTGCCATGGCTCTCTCCTGCCAGGCATAAAACTGTATCAAACTGTATATATTCTCCAAAAAGAAATTTGCCATAACTAAACCAGCTCTCCAGGATATTCTCAGACCTATCCTCCATAATGACCAGCACAATCCTCCACCACAAAAGTAAACTCACTCAGAAACTTTTGATCAAATTCCAACTTCCACAGTGGCAAAAGGATTAAAATTCTATCAGGCTTATCAATATTCTCAATTAATGTGAATGGCTTAAATTATCCTCTAAAGAGGCGCAGGTTGGCTGACTGGATAGGAAAACTCAGGCCAGATATCTGCTGCATACAAGAATCTTGTCTTACCTTAGAAGATAAATATAGACCCAGGGTGAAGGGATGGTCATCTATATTCCAGGCAAATGGAAATCAGAAAAAAGCAGGTGCTGCAATTTTATTCGCAGATACAATAGGCTTTATACCAACAAAAGTAAGGAAAGAAAAGGATGGTCACTTCATATTTGTTAAGGGTAATACTCAATATGATGAGATTTCAATTATTAATATTTATGCACCTAACCAGAGTGCACCTCAATTTATAAGAGACTCTAACAGACATGAGCAACTTGATTTCCTCCAGCACCATAATTATCGGAGATTTCAAGACTCCTTTGGCAGTGTTGGATGGATCCTCCAATAAGAAGCTGTGCAAAGAAATTTTAGATTTAAACATAACCATTCAACATTTGGATTTAACAGACATCTACAGAACATTTCATCCTAACAAAACTGAATACACATTCTTCTCGTCAGCCCATGGAACATACTCCAAAATCGATCACATCTTAGGTCACAAGTCTAACCTCAGCAAATTTAAAAGAATAGAAATCATTTCATGCATCTTCTCGGACCATCATGGAATAAAAGTTGAACTCCGTAACAACAGGAATCTGCAGACTCATACAAAAGAATGGAAGCTAAATAACCTTATGCTGAATGATAGCTGGGTCATAGATGAGATTAAGAAGGAAATTGCCAAATTTTTGGAACAAAACGATAATGAAGACATGAACTATCAGAACCTCTGGGATACCACAAAGCAGTCCTAAGAGGGAAATTTATAGCACTGCAAGCCTTCCTCCAGAGAATGGAAAGAGAGGAAGTTAACAACTTAATGGAACATCTCAAACAACAGGAAAAGGAAGAACACTCTAATCCTAAACCCAGCAGAAGAAAAGAAATAGCCAAATTAGAGCAGAATTAAATGAAATTGAAAACAAAAGGATTACGTAACTGATCAATAAATCAAAAAGTTGGATTTTTGAAAAGGTCAATAAGACACTTAGCTTCAAAGCTGGCTCTTGGAAGTTGAGAGAGTAGCAACGCTAAGGTGGTAGCTGCTGCTGCAACTGCCAGGGGATAATAAGCTGGGATCTGCCATACTTATTGATTAACTATGGAAGATTATACCAAAATAAAGAAAACTGGAGCGGGTACCTATGGAGTTGTGTATAAAGGTAAACACAAAACTACAGGTCAAGTGGTAGCCATGAAGAAAATCAGACTAGAAAGTGAAGAGGAAAGGGTTCCTAGCACTGCAATTCGGGAAATTTCTCTATTAACAGAACTTCATCATCCAAATATAGTCAGTCTTCAAGATGTGCTTATGCAAGATTCCAGGTTATATCTCATTTTTTAATTTCTTTCCATGGACCTCCAGAAATATTTGGATTCTATCCCTCCTGGTCAGTTCATGGATTCTTCACTTGTTAAGAGTGATTTATACCAAATCCTTCAGGGGACTGTGTTTTGTCACTCTAGAAGAGTTCTTCACTGAGACTTAAAACCTCAAAATCTCCTAATTGATGACAAAGGAACAATTAAACTGGCTGATTTTGGCTTTGCCAGAGCTTTTGGAATACCTATTTGGGTGTATACACATGAAGTAGTAACACTCTGGTACAGATCCCCAGAAGTATTGCTGGGGTCAGCTCATTACTCGACTCCAGTTGACATTTGGAGTATAGGCACCATATTTGCACAATTAGCAACTAAGAAACCACTTTTCCATGGTGACTCAGAAATTGATCAACTCTTCAGGATTTTCAGAACTTTGGGCACTCCCAATAATGAGGTGTGGCCAGAAGTAGAATCTTTACAGGCCTATAAGAATACATTTCTCAAGTGGAAACCAGGAAATCTAGCATCCCATGTCAAAAACTTGGATGAAAATGGCTTAGACTTGCTCTCGAAAATGTTAGTCTATGATCCTGCCAAACGAATTTCTGGCAAAATGGCATTGAATCATCCATATTTTAATGATTTGAACAATCAGATTAAGAAGACTTAACTTTCTGACAAAAAGTTTCCACATTCCAGATAGCTGTATTTTTTACTGTTAACTCTATTTTTGTCTTGTATATTTTTCTTTTCTTTGTTGTAAAACTTATGCTGTACCTCATCTTCTAATTTCAAAAATATAACTTAAAAATGTAAATAGTCTATATGAATTTAAATATAATCTGTATATGTGTGTAGGTCTCACTGTAACAACCGTTTGTTACTATAATAAAACTATAAATCTAAAAAAAAAAGAAAAAGTCAATAAAATAGATAAACCTTTGGCTAACCTAAGTAGGATAAAAAAAAAAGAGTAAAATCTCCAATTTCATCAGTCAGAAATGGTAATGATGAAATAACAAAAGACACCTCAGAAATTAAAAAAATCCTTAATGAATATTACAAGAAAATTTATTCTCAGAAATATGACAATCTGAAGGAAATCAACCAATACTTGGAAGCATGCCCCCTTCCAAGACTTAGCCAGAATCAAGTGGAAATGTTGAATAGACCTATATCAAGTTCTGAAATAGCATCAACTATACAAAATCTCCCTAAAAAGAAAAGCCCGGGACCAGATGGCTTCACATCAGAATTCTACCAAACCTTTAAAGAGGAACTAGTACCTATATTATTCTACCTTTTCCAAAATATAGAAAAAGAAGGAGTACTACCCAACACATTCTATGAAGTCAACATCACCTGGATCCCCAAACCAGGAAAAGACCCAACAAGAAAAGAAAATTAAAGACCAATATCACTAATGAATATTGATGCAAAAATATTCAACAAAATCCTAATAAACAGAATCCATCAAAACATCAAACTAATTATACACCATGACCAAGTGGATTTTATCCCAGGGTCTCAAGGCTGGTTCAAGATACGTAGATCTATAAATATAATTCAGCAGATAAACAAATTAAAAAACAAAGACCATATGATTCTCTCAGTTGATGGAGAAAAAGCTTTTGATAATCCATTCATGATCCATTCATGATCACGAATATTTTCACGAAATTTTCACGAATATTTTATGAGGAGGACACCCCAGGCAATTGAAGCAACATCAAAAATACACTACTGGGACCTGATCAAACTAAAAAGCTCTGCACAGCCAAGAATACAGCAAGTAAAGCAAGCAGACAGCCCCCAGAATGGGAAAAGATATTTGCAGGTTATGTCTCTGACAAAGGTTTAATAACCAGAATCCATAGAGACTCATGCATCAGCAAGAAAAGAACAAGTGATCCCATCTCAGGATGGACAAGGGACTTGAAGAGAAACTTCTCTAAAGAAGACAGGCACATGGCCTACAGACACATGAAAAAATGCTCATAATCCTTAATCATCAGAGAAATGCAAATCAAAACCACTTTAAGATATCATCTAACTCCAGTAAGATTAGCCCACATCACAAAATCCCCAACCAGAGATGTTCACGTGAATGTGAAGAAAAGGGAACATTTCTACATTGTTGATGGGAATGCAAACTAATACGTTCCTTTTGGAAAGATGTTTGGAGAACACTTAGAGATCTAAAAATAGACCTCCCATTTGATCCTATAATTTCTCTACTAGATATATATCTAGAAGACCAAAAATCACATTATGACAAAGATATATGTACCAGAAAGTTTATTGCAGCCCAATTCATAATTTCTAAGTCATGGAAGAAGCCCAAGTGCCCACTGACCCATGAATGGATTAATAACTTGTGGTATATGTACACCATGGAATACTATGCAGCCTTAAAGAAAGATGGAGATTTTACCTCTTACATGTTTACATGGATGGAGCTGGAACATATTTTTCTTAGCAAAGTATCTGAAGAATGGAAGAAAAAGTATCCAATGTACTCAGTCTTACTATGAAACCAAATGTATAGCTTTCATATGAAAGCTATAACCCAATTATAGCTCAAGAAAAAAAGGAAAGAGGAGAGGGAAGGGAGGGGAGGGGGAGGATGGGTGGAGGGAGAATAATTGGTGGGACCACACCTACAGTGCATCTTACAAGGGTACTTGTAAAATTTACTAAGTGTAGAATATAAATGTCATAACACAATAACCAAGAAATTGCCGTGAAGGCTATGTTGACCAGTTTGATGAAAGCATTTCAAATTGCATGTAAAACCAGCACATTGTAGTCCATGATTGCATTAATGTGCACAGCTATGGTTTAATAATAATAAAAAAAGAACATGCTGGATACTGAGGCAGCATATGCGGGACTCCCATGACTCAAGGCCTTTCCACGCTCACATTGGTCTGGACTGGGTGGCATATAGCAGTATCTTGACCCTACTGCAGGGTGAGTGCATTTAGCTAACCTCTGGGTCATGAGGGAGAGAGTGTGCCTGGTCTGGGTTTGAGGGAGGCTCCCCTGCTAAGCTCCTGGGCCTCCAGACAGGCCGTTCTCACAGTGGCTCTGATCATTCTGGGAGAAATAGGGGTGACCTTGATAGACTAAGGGGAAAATGAGGCCAGGACATGGTTCTGACTGTGAACCATATTTGCTTATCAGGGGTCCTCAAACTATGGCCCATGGGCCACATGCGGCCCATATAGGACATTTATCCGGTCCACCAGGTGTTTTTGCTGCCAGTGCCTATCCTGCTTAGCAGCTGACCCATCCTGAGGCCTGCAGTCCAGCCCTCCAACGGTCTGAGGGACAGTGTACTGGCCCTCTTTTTAAAAGTTTGAGGACCCCTGGATGGCAGCATCGGAGAACGGACAGAGGATTTGAAATTAGGAGCTAATTCTTTCCCCCCTGTTTTTGGTGGCCTTATTTGGTGCAAGGTAGGTAGTGACTTACAATGCAAGTTCTGGAGTCAGACTGCCAAGATTCCTAATCCCAGCTTTGCCATATTTAGCTGTGCTAACTGGAGCAGGAAAAGCAGCTCCCGCTACAGCTCAGGGTCCTGGCAGGAAAGAGATGAGCTCTCCAAGAATTTAACTGCAACACTTTAAGGAAGGGATGATTTACCTTTTAAGGCAACCATGGAGGGATGACAAGTCCCTAGGGGCTAAAGGCAGGAGAAGCCACTGTGGCTTTTCTGCCTAAAGGGACATGGGCAGGAATAGAGTTTCCTGAACCCAGGGAGAGCTCTAGTGTGGCAGGTGGCCCAAGAGGGGGAATGCAGTCACTGGTGTGGCTTTCTGATTAAGCCATTGCCTCCCATGGGCCCAGCTCAACTGGAACCACAGGGCAAAATGCCTCACTGGTGAGCACAGAGGTCAGTCTCCCAGCGACATGGTGCAGTAGTGAGAGGGAGCAGGATGTGTGTGGAGAGTCAAATTCAGTATCACCAATTCAGCTTCAATAAGCCGCAGTGCTCCCATCTGTGAAATGGGAATGCACATAGTAATGGCATCTGCCTAGTACGGTTGTTGTGAACATCAAACGGGACAGAGCATCTAAGGCTCTGAGCACAGGGTCTGGTTCAGACTCTGTGTGTACTGTGGTCAGTTATGGTTACATCAAAGGTGACCACTTGGGCTGCAGGAAGGGGTGCTTTTCTTGCAGACTGTAATACTGATTCTAAGAAGCCTGTAGGAAGAGTGTTGCTCCACCCTCAGGGTCAAGAAAGTTCTGGTTGCAGGGTGATCCAGTTAGACTCGTGTCTGGCCACACTTGCAACTCCTATTCATGACAGGTGGGGAATTAGTGCACTGAGCCAGAAGAGGAAGAGGTGCAGCCTGGCTCCCTCATTCTCCTCACTCTTGTCTTTAGTCTTTTTCTTTTTCTTTTCTTTTCTTTTTTTTTTGAGACAGAGTCTGTCTTAGTTGCCCTGGGTAGAGTGCCATGACATCATAGCTCTCAGTAACCTCAAATTCTTGGGCTCAAGTGATCCTCCTGCCTCAGGCTTCTGAGTACCTGGTACCACATGTGCCCACCACAATGCCCAGCTAGTTTGCACTCTTGCTAATACCAATATGGTGAGATAGCTGAAGGCTCAGCCCATCTGACAGACACTCTATTTTTAGGCTAAGCTCTGGGGCAAGCAGTCCTATGGTGGTGGTGAGGGCAATTGGGCAATCACTTCCCTGCCCCTGGAAATAACAAATTAGTGTTTACCTGGAGTCTGGGGCTGGCTGAAAATAGATTCAGGCAGCAATGGCTTTGAGCTGCCCAGAGCAGTTTTCCTCACATCCCTTTCCTGTTGGTAAGGGGATCTACCCACAGCCACACAGTCTCAGGCGTGCCTGTGACCTGGCCTGGCCACTCATAATCCTCTTATGCTTGAGGTTGAATTGGGGACCCCAAGATGACCATTTCCTCTTTAGAGAAAGAATATGCACAGAGATGTTTTGTTCTCTTTTTGATTTAAAATATCTGGGAGTTAAAAAAACAAAAAAGAAATCCTTAGTTTAACCCCCCCAAGTATCAACTCCAAGACTTTTATTCCACTCGAGGCAATATAGTAATAGCAGTTAAGAGATCAAGAACCTAAAATACATACAAGGGCAGACAATTGCATTTGCAAACTCATCCTAGAAAAAATGCTGCACACCTCATTGTTGAGGGTCACTACAGTCACCAGTAGGATATGCAGCAATGAAGTGTGCAGCACTTCTTCTAGGATGAGTTTGAGAACTTAATTGTCAGACCTTACACATGTCTGTGGAAGCACACAGATTCTCCCAGCTGGTAAAGTTCATGAGGAAAAGGTCACAGAGGTTTCAACTGCTCTTCTCAACCCCAAATGGACTCAAAGCTAGTGTTTAGAATAGGGGTCCTCAAACTTTTTAAACAGGGGGCCAGTTCACTGTCCCTCAGACTGTTGGAGGGCCAGGCTGCAGGCCTTGGGAGGAGTCAGCTGCTAAGCAGGACAGGCAACGGGGTCAAAAACACCCGGTGGGCCAGATAAATGTCCTTGGCGGGCCACATGTGGCCCCTGGGCTGTAGTTTGAGGATACCTGGTTTAGAAAGTGACTACATTTGGCTCAAAATGTAGCATGAATTAAGAAATGTATTTGTCATAGTCAGTAGGACTCAGCCAAACAATTTTCCCTGAGCCGGAGGAGGAGACAGGTCAGAGGGCCCAGGCCCTCCCTTAGTGGGGTGGCCTTGAGGGAGACAGTGCTAGGGGGGCAGGGGCAAGCCAAGGTCTGTATCTGGTCACAGACTGGGGATGCCGTGGTTGTGTTAAGTATTATGATTGCACTGTCAAGATGTCACCTGAGACACATCTTCTCCTGTGGCTCTTGTTAGGAAGAGACAGCAGCTGT